AGGGCTTACTGCATGAATTTGTATAAAAGATCTCCTACATTCAACACTCCTAGAATCTTGAAGTAAATTTTAATGTAACAGATTTATGCAAGTGGATAAAAAAATGCACACGCAGCATGTTTTATATTATGCATAAAAGCAAGCCCTAGTAATTAATTTTATTGGTAATTTCCTCACATCTTTACTTCAGAATATTAAAATTATTAGACAACTGTTCATTTTATTTTTCTTTTATACGTCATTTATCATTATTTAAATTATTTTGAATTCTTAGAATCAATCGTGCAACAATTGGTATGTATCGCACCGACCAGAAATTTAAAAGGCTTTTGAATATTTTGAAGTAAAATAGAAGTTTGTTAATCCAGTATCTGATAATCTGGAATATATAGTAATCTGGCACCCTCTGAAAAGTAATCGATAATTTCTGTAATTTAGGATGCTGGTATTTGGCAAATCAGAATTTTTTCGAATGCACAGTGCCTTAAAATCTGCAGGCAATAATATGTTCACTTACACTTTGCATGTTTTTCAGTCTTAAAACGACCTAGTCATACACTAATTAATGTAAGAGAGAGCGAGAGAAAGAGAGAGTGTATGTATGTAAATAAATTGAAAACACATGGCAGCATGCACTAATATAAATTGTACAGTACATCAATGTCTGAAACTTTTGATCACATATAACTAGTAAGAAAACTGTGATTCATAACTCGCATGCGGTTGTTCTAGACTCTTAGGCTGTGTACACACTAGGCGTTTTTAAACGCGTGTTTTAAAGAACCAAGAGTTCTACATAGGCGTGCACACTCAAACGCGTGCTTTTGGCCAAGCGCGTGTTAAGTGCGCGTTTATAGATTTTTCTTAAAACGCACGTTTTTCGGGCGCTTTAGTAGAACTCTTGGTTCTTTAAAACGCCTAGTGTGTACGCAGTCTTATTACAGCTTCCGCTGAGTTTATATAAAGAAATTGTATATATGTAAGTAATAAGTTTTCTGACTATTACATAGTGTAATATACACAAGGATCGTAAATGTAATTCATAACTTGACCTCAAATGGGAAACCGAAAAAACTAGAGAGTTAAATGATTATTTATCCAGTTAGTCATACCAATAAAGTACAGTAAAACAATAGTAATATTTCTATTGAACAGTGGTAACTATATTATTTTAACTATATATAATGATGCAGCTCTGCAATAGGCATTCCAATGAAGGATGCAACTCTCATTTAGTTCTGATATGCAGTGTATGGCTCCTACCATGACAAGGTTTGACCACTCCTGGCATATAACTTATGGAATTTTACAAAAGTATTGGGTAATCTGGCACCTATTGGAACAAAGTAGTGCCAGATTAATAAACTTCTGTATATAAATAAATTTTATCATAAGAAGAATATTTTGTAAGTAAATTACAAAGTGATTTTTGTTATATATTTTTATAACAACACAGAATAGTCAAACACTTAATTTTCTAATCTAGCATTTTTGTTAAATGTGTTTGGCTTCTATATCTCAATGTTGCAACAGAGGTCAAAACATTCATTTAATAAAAATATTCTGCTAGATTTAAAAGTTCATTATCATCATCATTTAGATTCAGCAGAAATGGCTTATAAAATAGTTGTCAAATAGAAATTTGAATAAAGAAGATTCAAATAAGAAATTTCAACTCACCAAGAACAATCAACCTATTTGAATGAGTTTCTTAGTTTTAATGTCATCAGCAAAGACTTAGTGTGGATTTGTAACATGGTAGTCCTGTGTGTAACAATATAAATTTAAACAGCAAGCACTGTTGATAACTTTTTTTTTTAATTTTCAATATTAATGTTAGCATAACATTTAAACTTTTCATTGACAATTTGTAATTATTTACTATCAACTAGAATTGAAGATTACATATTTGCCCTTTTTCATTTAATGTTCAAATATATATTCTCTCTTCTGCTCCCATGTTGTGCTGCTGTGTCAAGGGAGCAAGAAGGAGGAATATATCAGGTCTCCGTATAAATATAATAGTGATTCGCAACTGGGAGTACACAGAAATAAATTAATAATGGCAGATGTACTATAAGAATATTCGGATTCTGTGTTGAGGCCTTTGGCGATAGTACTCAATACTTAGTGTTAAATAACAATATAACTAATCATACATCTGACTTTCTGATAATTGAATCATGTTTGGGAGGAAGTCATCCAGTCAAAATTTCAATGGCTTCGGAAAGCTCTAAAAAAGTATCAGAAGGAATGCTAGGAGCCAGTTTACTCTCTTTAAAAATGCCTCCCTGCTTGGCCAGTAGATTAGTGCTTATATTTGCAGGCAAATTCACTCATGTGACCCATGCAAAAGAAAAATTTATTGCAGGCAGCCAGTCTGTCAAGATGCAAACAGCAGGCCCAGTCAAGTGCCAACATAAACCAACAACAGTTTGATTTGACAATTTGACTTTCGAATGCTGTCAAAGCAGTCCGACCTTCAGAAACAGGATGCAATCATACTAGATTGTAACTCGAGTTGGGAAAAGCTCTCTGGATTCATTAAGGACATATTTTGTAAACCGATATTCAATATTCCAGAAGTAATTTATACCCAAAGCTTAGCAGGTGTTTTCTTGTAAAATATATTTGTAGATTCCTTGTTTTTTTGTTTAACGAACTGTACAAATTGCAAACTTAAACAATTACATACACCAAATTTGCAAAAAAAATGTTAACATTTTAAAATTATTAATAATTGATATTTATATGGTAAATTATATGATGATTAATTGATTGATAATCAATAGTTTACATGATTAACTATTAACAATCATATAAATAATATATCATTAATAATTACTCATAACAGTCATATATCCTGCTGTCATACATGTATTATAAAATTAAATATACATCATACAAAAGTAAATAACTAAAGCATTGAATGGTTATGTTAATTTTACTGCAATAGTAACTCAAAGGATTATTGTTAGATATACTGTATATGTGTAAACCGCTGAAGATGGGGCTAAAAACAAACGTAAAAGGTGCAAAACCAAAATTTGATTGAAGCACAACACAAAGCTTGCCTGCAAAAAACATAATGCCAAAATTGGGGGTCAACCATTATTGTGTTTAAGTAACATTGCTTTCTATTTGTTACTCAAGTTTACAGCGATTACAATTTTGAAATATCGGTTTGCATGCAGAAACACGATTCAACAAAAAAGTCAAATCATGTTTCTGAAAACAATTTAACAAAAAATTACTGCACCACACCAATTGAATTTACATTTTATTTTTGTATCTATAAAACTATTTCACTATATTCCAAAGACAGCGACAGACTCTCAAAGACACTATTATTTGAAAACATGTCGCTGGTCATTGAAATTTGGAAAAATAAATATAGTTTTGTAGCCAGAAAACTATTATTTTCCTCATATAAATTAACATTTTTAGATTTTTATATATCGGTACACTGAAAATATTTGGAATAATACCATTCAGAAGAATTATTCTTCTTTGTAATTCAGAAAATTTATTTTATTGTATAATTTGTGATATTAAAAAACAACTATGTAAACTATAATCAATATACAATATCATATATTTCAGAATAAATATACCAAAGATGGATTTTATACAAGTTTAAACACACTTCTCATTTAGCAATGAACTATTATTATTTTGGACTTACTGTATGTTCAATGACGAGGACATAAATAAACTAACTTAAAGAAACAGCTTTAATTTCCAGTATGCATTTAGAGTCTTCCATGACTCCTCTTCGGCTGGAATTTACATGAAAATACACCAAAGCTAATTGTCTGTGCCAATCTATTTATTAAATCTATAACTTTCATTACTAAGCAGAAAGAAGTAGTATTTAAAAATACCCAGTCTCCCAAAGACATGTCGGCACGGCTCGAAGACACTCAAGTTTTAAATGTTTAATAAATTCAATTTAATAAAAGAATAAAAAGGATCAAACTTTTCGAAATTTCTGAAGATCCAGACAATACATCTCTCAATGTTACAGTGCACAAAGACAAATGAGTAAGCATTTCGCTCAGTTTTTAATTAAAAAAAACTGGATTATTATAAATATTTTACTCAAACTGCACCATTAACAGTTACAAAAAAACAATTTTAATAAATGCAATGAAATCATACAAATCACATACTTTTTTGTAGATGCGTCGAGCCCACAAAGAAAATCAAAATCAATCTACCGGACAAATACCATTCTATAATCTGCACTTGCCACTTTTTGTAATTTCGTCACACGTAACGCATCTAACACGTCACTACTTTAAAATACAATGGGCGCATCGCTCAGATACACAAATGGACGACGGGTGCATTGCTCGAATATGCAAACCGACAACAGTCCGTTGCAGTCGTACATACAAACAAACGGTACGGCCGGATAAGTAAAACGACGACGGCTCGATTCGAAACGGACGAATAAACACACCACCGAGGCAAGAAACACAAATAACTTTAACAAAAGCAAGTAGAGATCTTCGGGTCGCACGGATCAAACACGGATCCACGTAACCCAAAGACATCCGTCCGAAAACGTCGACCTTGGTTAAAATCACCAGCAATTCTCTCCACCGTAGCATTTACCCGTCCGTTCCAAATCAAGCCGCAGTCGGTCGGCCCGTTCGACGTCCCTCAACCGAGAGCCGGTCCACCCGTGGCCGACGGACACGCGCGCGACACCACCAAAACGTTACGGAGACGCAAGACGCCGGCCTCCACCCTCAATTTTCCCCAAAAATACCTAAACTCCCCACGTGATTTTGGAAAAAAAAAAAACCCGAATTAAACGTAACAACACCTAAACCCGCCTACCTTAACAATTACGCAAAATCTGTAGGTTAACGCGTCGCGAGGATGCTTTCCAGCAGAGTTTAAACCGAAAAAAACATCACTTCCGAGACGCGACCGTAGTATTAGGCTTAGAGAGTCTCCTCGGAGCTGCCATTTAAAATGCACGGACTCACCTTTAGGAAAGACTCCGATGTACACCAGATTGCCCCAACCGGATTCGGGTGGATGGAAACGCCCGTCCAACAATCGAACGCCCCTCATGGTACCAGTTTCGGGATTTCTGTATTTCAGTCCGCAAGTGCCTGGATATTGTGCAGATAATGTCGTTAGCAGTAAAGTCCCGTCGTCTTCGCACGGCAATTCTATCGGTTCATCGTTTTCTTCCTCGGCCACCTGTATGAAACTCATTGTCATTACGATCTTCTTCCTTTCCCTTCGTCGTTTTACTTTTTTTTTTTTTTTTTTTTTTTTTTTTTTTTTTGTATTTTTCTTCCTTTTCTTCTTCTTCCTCTTCTACTTCCACTTCTGCAACGGTACGTCTGTCGATGCGCGATGGTTCTCGAAACGGCCGCTTGGTGTCGCCCGTTCGTCCGGCTGTCGGAATTATATGAAAATATGAAAAAAATATATTCGTGTTTTTTATTATTTTTACGATTTTAAATGTTTTATTATTATATAAATATTAATATGTGTCGTTCGTTAATTTTAATAATATTCTGCAACGAGCCAGTATTTTAAAAAGACGAAAAAATAAGATGCTTTTTTTTTCATTAATGTAGCGCTTTTTTCTAGTTTTTGAAACTATACTAGAGGACGCGAGTCACTCGTCGGCCTGGCGGGGTGACGTAGTCGTGAATCCGATGCCCAACTTAGCCCAAAAAAAAACAAACTCCGCCCCTGGGCACTAAATGAGTTTTTTTTTCTATACTCGTCGTGGATCGGGTCGAGCCCACGATGGTGGCGACAACGGCCCCTATGTATTCGGGAAATATTGCCCATAAAAAAAATTCCTGGCGTTGCTTGGCCGAGTTTTTTTGCGCTAAGAAGGTATGGCGTACCCATTAAGGGTTATTTCTTGTCTTTATTCGTTGCTTCTCTGCCGGTCGCCTCAGTGCGGGCCTGGCCGAGTCCATGATGGAACCGATAAAAAAAAGTCCTTGGTGCACACAGGACGGGAAAAACACTAGTGTCAAAAAGTTAATTACCGATATATATTTATTAATAACAAGAGTATTTAATCGCTTTTCTTAAATATTCAGTAGAATTTTATGGATAAAAAGCATCGACATCATAGAACAACTAAACACATTCAAGTATTTTGCCGCCATATTTAATCGTTTCTGAAATGTAATGCTTTTAACACGAGGCACAATACGTTATAAGCTGTTATTGCTCAATTACGGGCATGCCTGACCCCGTAACGAGGTCAACTAGAATGGAAGAAGGATGAGTAGCAGTGTCCCGATTTGTATGACCATGATAAACTATGAATCGGGTTCGAATCTAAATCTCATTGCGTGGCCATTTAATGTGACGTTAGTTCTGACGAGAGGGGGGGAAGACTTTGTTTAACAGCGAAACCCGAGCCCTTATAAATGTCCTGAAAGTCCGATTCTTAAGTAAATTTCTTTGTTTGATTCTAGGTTTATTTGGTTACGGCAACGCGACACGTAGGCGATGTGCCAGTGAGATGCCTTTCTGGAAGACTTTCTATGAGACACTGGCCCAATTTAGATGTTACAAACATGGCCAACCCGTTGGCGATGCGCGAACACATGACCAAATATCAGTGTTCAGTGGTGTTAAATTATTACACTCGGCCACTTGTGGGCTTTATTTTTCGTTTATTTGCACGAACACATCACTCTGGTGTTTGGAAAGGGTATTATGAAAAAATCGCTCAATAAAAAAATTGGCGATTCGGATCCGGTTGGGTAGTTGGAACATGCAGATGGGTAATTGCTGTTAGGCAAAGACGATTTTAGGCTTTTGGAACAAAATATACATTTTTTTGTATGTTTTCTCTACTTTCTTGGGCCCACCAGTGGCCAAGCGGTTTTTTGTACCCTGAACTCTGGGAGTTCGGTGGTGCGTTCGCGCCTCGCTCGGACGGGCTGGCCATGTAGTGTTTTCCGGGTTTTCTCCACGTCTGTAACGCCTGAATAGGGTCCAGTTACCCTTAAAAAGACCTTCCGGAAGGCATCCCCTTAGGCAGATCGCCCAAGTGTTGTGTTGCCATAACTTAACCAACAAAGTCTAATTTCTTTTTGTTTTAGTAAAAAGAACAAAAATATTTAAAGAATATTACAGCAAGTTATTCTTTCCCCCGTGGGCCCTAAGATGACCTTTTTCAAGCCAATCGCGGGTTCCGTCAGATCTAGAAAGGGACAACCGGATGGTGAGATTCAAATTCCTGGGATTTTTTGACCCGTTTAAATTCTATTCCGCGTATCTTAGAGAGGTAGCTAGCACCTTAACTGTTCGGTCATTCGACTGTGCCGTCAATAGACTAAATTGTGCTTGGACTGATCATCCAGCAACACCAAGGGTCATATTCTGGTCACCGTCTCTCAGAAGCCGGTCGCTGATTGGTTAACCTAAATGATCAGCCAATCAGCGACCAGCTTGTGAGAGACGGTGACTAGAATACGGCCTCAGAATTCCTATTGTACGGAGTAGGCCAGAAGTCTATAGGAGGAAACCATCCTGCCCACTATAATCCGGGTAAACAGGTACAGCTTCTTCAAACAGGTCAGCAGCGGATCCAGAAATACCCAAAGTGGGGCTAATTAAAAAATTAAAACATTTGAATAATTAATTAGTACCTACTGTTAGCATGTGCAAGACGATTGTATTGCGGATGGTCTTATAAACCATATTTGTCGTCATAAATGTTTTTAAAAACGACGTTGTGAAGTTCGAACAAATAAATTTTAATTATTTTCGGATAATGGGGAGGACCAGTGCCGGCCCGAGGCAAGTTTTAGGATGGAGCGAGATCCCATTATGGCGCCCCCTTGGTTGCCCCTAATTTATACTCTTTAATTTTCTATACTACTGAGGCACCTCCTAGGACTTAGCGCCTAAAGTGACTGCTCCGTTCGCCCTATGGTAGGGCCGGCTCTGGGGAAGACTAATGCTCCAGTAGCCCTCTCCTTGGATCTGCCACGGATCATAAGCCGCTAGGCAAAGCACAATGCGGGAGCAGCCACCTCATATGCATTTGTAAATCAGGAGACCGTTAGCACGCGTGAAAATTCAGACAATCGTAGCCCAGATTCGATTCCGGTTTCGTAGAATGGTAAGTCGAAGCTAAACTAGCGCACAGTAAGAGATTATCGCTACAATTATGAAGGATTCGGGTTCGAGTCCGACCAAGATTTTCATAATTTATTGATAATGAGATGGCGCATCGTTTAAAGTCCCCATTCATGTTAGCCTATCCCATAAAATGTTCGGCTAACCCGTAATAAGAGAAACTAATCGTTACATAAAATCTCAATATGCGACCTGGCGTTACTGAAACTCGCAAAGTTTAGGAGCAATTACGACCTATCGCTTTAACGGCCGGATGGCCGATTGGTTAAGATGTCGGCCCACTGTTCTAGGGATTCGGAATTGAAACCGGACAGGTAAAAAATAACCCCAATAATTTTTTCGAGTGGTCCATCCGGATACGTCGGACCCCGTTCCTCACAGTCCAGAGCCCGATCGAATCCACAAAGGGCTTGCAATAATAAGGCCTTCTTACAAGTTAGTATCCAAAGAACGGAGAGTTAAAGATGATAGAAAAAAATGCATAAATAAAATTAAAATAATTATTATATTAAATGTTTATTTGTTTTATTCAAATCTCAAAGTATAAATTTTTTTAAAATATTTATTAAAACTGTAATTTAATTAAAAAGGCAGGTGGCGTTTTGGTTCTTATTGGTATCACGTGTTACGAAGAAATGTTATTGTCACGTGTCTAACGTATAAAATTATCAATTTGGCTGTAGGAAAACCGAAGAAATTAATTCTAAAATGATATTTAGATGAACGTGTTTTTTAATAGTCCTAACTTAAGATTTTAATTACGTATCGCTGATTAATAATTGTTAAGCATCAGTAAATAAAAAAAAAGCCACGTTTATCCCATAACGTTTCACAAGTTAGAAAATATTCCTGCATATACTTCTTTAATTTGAATAAAATGCTTGTAAGAAAGTTACATCTCGTGAGCCGCTTTGGTATACATCGAAATATAAAGTGTGAAGTGTTAAGATCCCATTACAGATACATAAATCAAAGTTTCTGTAAATTAAAGAATAATGGCATTTATGATATGATTAGTGCCTTTTCTAAAGAAGCTAAATATGACGTTGTGTTACCTTGGGATGTGAGCCCTCAAAAATTAGTTCCCCGTCACATTGAATGCCCCGAATATGCGGAGAGTGGTTTCGTGTCTGAAAAGTCGGCGGAGGTCGAAATAAAAAATGAAAGCCAGATTGCATCGTTAACGAAATCTTGTCGGTTAGCCAGAAGTATTTTGAATTACGTTAACGAAAACATAAAGGTGAAGATAAAGGTGTTCATACTAAATTGGTGGTTCTCGATTTTATGGTTCGTGGATTGCTTAAACTGAATCGTATAAGCGATCGCTTGTCCCCGTCGGTTCTTTATCCATAAAAAATTACTTTGAGTATGTGTTAAAAAATTCTATCTATTTAACAGATAAGTTGTACATAAAAATATTCATTCTTCTGGTTAAATGGTAGAATTTCGTTTCAGAAAAATGACTACGTCAGTCCATAGACCATATTGTGAGAATCACTTAAACAATGAAATAATAAGTATGTTCCGGTATGCATCAAACAGTGCTGTGATGTACCAAAATGTGTTCTGACATTCACCAATGAGTTTGTCGGGGTAGTTACTGATGCACGTTGCACTTGTCAGGCAGTGCCTATGGTGAGAAATATGACCACCTCCATGGTTACATAAACACCATTGTTACTACCCATTTGTATGTGCCCAAAATTACTTTGAAAAAAGTTTGCAAGTGTTAATATAGCTCTGATTGCTTCTGCCATCTTGTTAGTTTGCCAGACATTCCAGTAAAAGCTTATTAAACTGTTCACTGGTGCATTGGTTGTGGCTAAGACTGATGCATACTGGAACGTATCGATTGATTCTGTGTCATGAAATTGCAACAAATAAACTATTATTTAAAGAGCCAACTCATTTTTCTCTTTAAATAATGGTTTGCTTGTTGGTATGGTTATATATTTTGTTTTTAGAATTTACAAAAAATAATTCTGATTATTGCATTTAAGGTAGGAATGACGACCGAAGAAATTGATAATCTTGTTCACGAGATGTGTATTCAAAACAAAGCATATCCGTCACCTCTAAATTATATGGGTTTTCCAAAATCAGTCTGTACGTCTGTAAATAATGTTGCCTGTCACGGTATACCCGACAGCCGTCCGTTAAAAGATGGCGACATTGTTAGCGTAGACGTTAGCGTAAGTATTCGAGTTTACATTTAGAAAATTTGAATGGTATTTTTCTTAAACTAAACTGATGTTTATTATTAACAGGTATATATTAATGGCTACCATGGTGATTGTGCTGAAACATTTGGAATCGGAAATGTCGATAAGAGAGGTCGAAAACTGATTGAAGTTGCTAAAACTTGTTTATACGAGGCTATGAAGATTTGTCATTCGGGTCAATTTCTTTGTGAAATAGGAAAAAATATCAGGTATATATAATATTAGTAGTAGTACAGGGTATCCTGAAAGTTACTGTGCAGTGAAAAAAGTTTAAGTTTTATTAAAGGTGAAGTTTTACATATGATATTGCAGTTTCTCTACAGCAAATACTATGAATATCTCCAGAAGCCAGATGTGTGCACATGATGCTGCATATTGTTGAACATATTCTGGAGGGTGACAGAGATGATCAGTCTGGTGTGTTATGTAATTGTCATCTTTAGCTCCTCCAGAGTTGTGAGTGTTCTCATGTAACCGAGATAAAAATCTGAGAAAGTGAGGTCTTGTATACAATACTGTACATATAACTTTAATGTTACTACAAATTTCTCTCTGCACAGTAACGTTTTGGACACTCCATATTAAATAACATTAATTAAAAGAACTATGAAACATTGAAATGTTCTCTTTGGATTAGTAAGGATTATATTTCATAATTTGAATATACATAAAAATTTGCTTCTTGTCCTTTTCAAATTAAGTTTATCAAGCCTACGTATTTGTGTGATAAGTCCTCGGACTAGAAACGAATATATAGGCTTGATAAGCATAAGATTGAATATACATTTTTGATAAATTTGACTTAACAGTGGCAAAACATCTCGACAATCTCCGCAGCCATATGGCGATTTTGCCTGTGGAATGAATTTCATAAAATTCAGTATAAAATTAACTTTGAGAAAAATTAAAAGAAAGAAAATTCATTAGAAAAACTATTCATTTTTTAATGAATTTTTATTAATAAAATATTTTGCATAGTTTTGTGTAGAATGATTAAAATTGAGTGTAGAAAAAAAACTCAATCTTATTATTTTCAAGGAAAAAAATGTAGAAACTTTAATTTTTGACTCATCATCAGGACTACATCCATAGAACACAACCCTGATGATGAGCTGAAAGGCTTGAAAATGCTTGAGAATTAGCGTAAATATTGTTACGATCTCCAATAAAGCAGGAAGGAAATACATGCGTCTCGCATCTTTGTTGTCTGTTGGGACCATCAAAAATCGGTGACCAAATCAAATATCTTTATACCAATACGAACACAAAAGGTATGTATTGTTTTGTTTTAAAGTTTTATATACTACAGTTACACATATTGTTCATATACCACATAAAATATAACTAAAATATTTTTAATTTTATAATAAAGTTTAAAAAAATCACTTCTGGCACATTACTGTATAATAGAATGGAGATTATCAATCAAGAACATGTCTGAAAAGTTGACTTCTCTTGCAAGGAAAAAATATTCAATGTTTTCTAAGTTAGCTAGAGCTTCTGCAAATATTGGAGGAGTATTATCATCATCATTATTTATTTCACCATCATTGTCTTCATCATCTACTTCCTGAAAGTCAATAGTAATATCATAAATAGCTTCAATAATTTCTTCATTTAAAGGGTATGATGTCGGATACTCTTGGTTGAAAGAAACATATTCAAGTACGTATTAGTAGCGTCAACAATATATCACCGAAACACTTTAATAAGTCTTGCAGATCATATTCACTTGCATTTTTAGTATTTCTTGGTTCTTCACTTGCAGATATTTCAGCATTACTCATAGAAAGAAGGCATTGTGATCATATCCAAACTTCATTCAACATGTACACTACATGTTTTACTCTATCCTAGTTATTTTTGATCATGTTATGTATTAGGTTATTGCAAATGAAATGGTCAATTTTACTTCTGACAACATTTATTAATTTAATTTAAAACTTACATATTCAATCAAAATTGTCTCCGCTAACATTAATACACTTTTCTCAATGCAATAGGAATGAATTAATGTCAATTTGATAGAAATCATGAGAATGAGAAGCCAAATAGTGATTATATCAATATTTTGAACAATAATTTCTTTAGTTTTTAGCAATTTTTTTAATATTATTATTAAATACCGGAGCTCTAGGGTATTTGCATGGTTTTAATAGTATTTTTTTTTTATCTTTTTCAAACACATAATTAAGTTTTTTAGAGGTCATTTGACTTTGTAATGTATTTTTTTGGGTTTTATTGAGATCAGTATTGCTAAGCCATTGTTCTATTACCTTATTTGGATAATCATTTAGTCGAAAGATTTTATAAATGTCTTCTATTTCTTTAGTTTGTTCAACATAACTTCTCGTACATGTTTTAATTTTGGCAATGTACGTGTTAAATATATTTCTCTTAATATACATAAGTGTACTGGAATGATAGTTACTTCGTATCAATATATAAAACTGAACAAAGATCCTACATCATACATATGAGAAAACATGGAAAAAGTTTTTAAAAAGCTAATAATATTAACGTAGATGATTTTAACAATATTTTAGATTACAATTTAAGAATTACTAGGCTCAATATTAAAGTTAAAACACATAAAGTACAAGAATCATATAGACCATTAGTAGATATTAAATTTTACATTTTATATAATTTATAAAATTCCTTAAGAATAAATTAAATCAATATCACAATTGCGAATATAGTATTAAAAACGTAGACCAATTCATTGAAAACCTTTAAAAAACTTAATGGGTTTAAAATAAGGACCAAAGAGGGGTCATTATGATCCGAAATACATACCCACATCCAACAATAAAGTGTATATCATTAAGAGTTCCTTGTGTGATGTAATTTACTGAAAAAAAGCCAAAAATTTTAGGCTTAAAAAAATCCGCAGAAACCAGTAACGGAAATGATCAATTAATTAAAGATGAGTGTAGTACAGTGTGATAATTGGAGAAAAGTTTTGGTTTAATGTTATTAAGAAAAGAGACATTTTTGACATTTGTATGGTGTGATGACAGAAATTAACAGAGATTTAATTTGCTTATGAAATTATCTTTGCCGTTTCTACATGCTGCAGTTTTTCTGTAATGTTAATAAATGAGATCGTTTAAGATTCCACAGAGACATTTTGAATTTAATAATACAGGATCTTCCAAAAAAGAATGTTACTATTTTAAATTATTATAATTAAAGTTTATTATTATCTGAGAATGTCAAAATGTACATTAAAACATTGGAAAATGGTCCTAATTTCATATTTGCCCATTACAATTTTTCCATGCACGCTAATGTCACAAAGCATACATCCGTCTGATACTCATATTCTTCTCAGGTTCGCTATGGTATATCCATCATCACTCCTTCCACAATTCTATGGTTCCTGCAGATTGCTTGTGTTGCATGACGACAAGCAATTCTTATTTTGAGAACACAAAATGCCTTCTCTGTTGCAGAGTGGCCATTTTTGTCTGTGGTGCTTCCTAGAGGTAGTAGATGACGAGATATTTGAATACGATGGGAGACGAAACTTGAACGGTCACTCTATCGATTGGCATGCATTGTGTACTTCTCAGGTAATAATTAACATAATTTAAAATGGTGGCAGTCAATTAGGAAAGTCCTGTATACTCACTTACGGAATGTCTCAAAAAAATATTTATCTAATAATTTAGTCACAAGGAGCAAATATTTAGACATCAAATGCATTTTAAAGGTTAAAATTTCTATAGTAGCAAATAACAGACACTTTTTGAGTTTCTAAATCTCAAGTTGGGCCCACCAGTGGCCGAGCGGTCTTCGTACCCTAAACACTGGGAGTTCAGTTGTGGGTTCGCGCCACGATCGAACAGGCTGGCTGCTTGGAGTTTTCCGGGTTTTCTCCTTGCCGATAACAACTAAATAGGAGGCCAGTTTCCCATAAAAGTCCTCCTGGAAGGCATTCTTTCCCCTCGCGTAACATTGCGCCCCAGAGAAGGCAAAGAGAAAAACCACTCTGGGTACTAACCTTCCCTAGTAACACTTGGCATATTATTAACTACTTACTAATCTGCGCCGGGTGTCGCTGACGTCAGAAATCTGATATGGCACCAAGAAGAGAGAGAAATCTCAAGTTAAAGTTTAGACAAGTTGACAAATCATCTCAATATTTGAACCATTGACTTCTAGGCACTGCTGACACATTCAAACAAACAGACTGCAAATATCCGTCAGTTTCTCCATATAGAGCATTGCATATTTCTCTTTGACAGCAGTTAATTCACGTGTAAAGTGAATTCTATAAAACTTTTGACACAACGGTTCTAATGTCAAAAGTTTCGTAGAATCCGAGAAGTATGCAATATATACTCACCAATACAGTAACTGTTCGAGTTTCATTTCTCATCCGCATTCAAATGTCTTCTTGTCTACTATCTCTAGGAGGTGCGTAAATGAAAATGATAACCCCGCAATTAAGAAGGTGTTGTGTGTTCTGCGGTTTGCAAAGTCTGAATCGCTCATCGTTGTGCAACCGAGTAATCCGCAGGAGTGCAGAAGCTGCACAATTCTACAGTTCCTATAAATGTGGAGCCATGAAATTGTGGCTGCTGTGGGAGGGGTGACAATGGATATGCCGTAGACAGCATAGGAAGAATTTGAACATATGCCGTGCGAGGTGTTGAGAAATCGTAATGGGCAGTTTTCCAATGTTTTAATGTACTTGGATAATAATTAACATAATTACAATTCGTTTAAAATGGTAGCATTGTTTTTTGGATGACCTTATACACATAATTTACAATCAAACGATCCGCTGGATTTTTACTTTCTCGGCTGTTATATATAACAGAGGGAAAGTATGGCGATCGGTCAAAAAATGACCTGCAAGATTTTTATATTTTTATATTTGGAACCTCTAAATGTGAAGAAATGCAAAAAGAAATTTGGAGGTTTTTCTGTATGTATAGATGTTAATGTATGGGGGGACATAATTTTGTTTACTCTCTTTGAAGCTTAATAACTTAAAATTTTTCAGGGTGATTTGTGTATTAGTGGAATCAATGCTAACCACCAAAATTTATTAAATTTTGGTGGTTAAAGATCAAGGGTTGGGGAAATAGAGTGGGGTTATTTGTCATATCTCGAGTAGTGTCTGACTTAACAAAGATTTTACTCATTATTAGCATTTACAATCTTTTATAATAATTAATAAATATAAGAATATTTTAAAATAACATATCGTAACAGATGACACCATCGCAATTTTTAATTTTTTGTCAGGAAAGTTATGCAACTCGTTGCTGATTTTTTATTGGACTATTTTAAGCCCAATAAGCAAAATAAATACTTAAAATGGCCCAATCCAGCACATTGATTATTCTAATAAATCAGGTTATGGATGTTACCATATTCATATATACATATAATTTATGAAAATCAGACTAATGATTGTTATTGACATAAATAATGTATAAAGCATTAATATTTCGGAATATTGATTTTTTGATGATTTCGGACGGAAATACTAATAATAATTTTTATTTTTTAATATAGCAAAACTGCATCGGCGTCCGGATTTACGGTCGTACCAGCATTCTGTGGCCACGGAATAGGGACTTATTTTCACGGAGCTCCGCAGATATTACATTACCGTAAGAGTCGCATTTACGTTTCTATCGAGGTCGACCGTTTCAGATTAAAAGTTGATTTATATACAATTATATTGGTTTGTTTTCAGCAAATAACGAGAAAGGTGTCATGAAGACGGGAATGACTTTTACAATTGGTAAGTTAAAACTTTGAATTTATATTAAAGCTTATATTTGGAAACTTTAATTTTTAAAAACTTTTTAGAGCCCGTTATATGCGAAGGAAAACCGGATATCGTCGTCCTCGAAGACGGATGGACTGCGGTTACGCTCGACAATAGTCGCTGTGCTCAATTTGAACACACGATTCTAATTACAGATAATGGCGTTGAAATACTAACAATTTAACAATTAAATAACGTTTATATGTAAATACATAAAAAATCAATGTGAAAAAAGATTATACAGGGTGTCCAAAAAGTTACTATGCCGTGAGAAATTTGTAACAACATTAAAGTTACGTGTGTGGCATGCAAGTTGTATGTCCCGCATTTCCACTTTGTGGTAGATGGAATTAACACTTGCTCACACAGACATTCTAGTTTTTGGGCTAAAGTTTTTAAAAGACTTTGCCAATCGCATAATCTCCTATGGGATCTGGATCTCACTTCTCGGATTTTGCAACCTCTGGAGTATATTTTCAGCATTTGCCGTAGGAGAAACTGCAATATCATGTGTAAAACTTCACTTAAACCTTTTCTACTCTACAGTAACTTTAGTATATATGCAACTGAAAGTTTGAGGTACAACTACATTTCTTCTACAGTTCCAGCAGAGAAATTAGGTTTTGATATACATCGCAAATGTTTTTAGCATTTTTCATTTGGCCATTGTCTGAAAGTTTGTTTGTTCTATGTTTTGTTTTCGCTAATACCCAAGGAAGGCCCAAATGAAAAATGACTGAAAATGTTCGTGACATTTGGTATTAAAACCTAATTTCTTTACCTGAACTATAGGAAAAGTGTGATTGAAATCAGTGTGATGTGTAAGGTCGGATGTTACTTAAAATACAATAAATGTTTTAAATTTAAGACGTTAACCACATATTTATTATAATTTTTCCGAAAAACAAAAATTAATGTACTCCATATTGATAACAGGATGGCCAAAATAAAGTCGTAATTTTCAAAATACTCATGGTTGGTTGGACCTATATATGTCAGGTTGAAGCCAGGATAAACCCAAGAAAAGGCTCCACGCCTACAAGGTAGAAAGAATTAAAATAAATGGAGGAACAAAAAGTTGAGAAACTAATGTATATTTTATTTACATTATAGCCTCTTAGAGAAATGCTTTCGGCTTCTACATCATTGTTTTCTCAAATTTTATAGTATGCACGGGGCTTGACGGGTGAGGCAACGAGGCGACTACCTTGTAGAAAAATAAACCGTCGAAAATGTTCAAAAGTAGAAAATAACAATACAGTGAAGTCCTGTAGATGTACTTTACAGTTGTTCATAAATAGTTCATACAAGAGTGCCAGTATCAGCAGTGTTCTCTGTACCTGTGTTTACACAGTTGCTCTTTTTAGCAGCATCAGCAACTGAAACCAGCTTACTCTCTTCCAGTTATTTGATAAAAAAAACCCTCCCAAAGTGTCAGCAAGTACAATTGCAATTAACAACAAACCAGTTTGTTTTCTTTATGCTGGTTGCAAGCCCACATAATTGTCAGAATTAACACTAATAAAACATATTGGCTGTGTTTGTCAGGCTCAACACTTCTAATTGAGCATAGATATGGTATTGGCAACTGTTATTCAATGGCAATGAATCCGTTAACTATCCACCCTCCAGGCACTGAGAGAGACCTTTTTATCAAGCCCATTATGGGTCTGGCCGAACCCATTAATGGGCTTGATAAAAAGGGAGGCCCTCGGAGCGAAAAAGCATAAATAAAAAGATCCTCTATTAAATATGTTAAAGTATCAAAGAGTAATTTCCCAACCGGTAGCTCGCGATCCTCTTCAGAAGGATAAAATCGAATTTCCAGACAGTAAGGTTGAGAAGTGTTTTATAAACGGCTTAATAAAAAGCGATTTTAAATGATATTAAGCGAATTTAAACGGTTTTATTTTAACGAATAGTGAATTTTTTACCGTAAAAATTCTGTATCGATCGACACACTTCGAAAGATTCGTGAATAAATTAACCAAATAAATAAGTGAAATTATTAAAATTTGATATAAGATCTTATCGTTTAACACCAGAGAAATCCAAGAAATTATTATTAATATTGATACCGATATTAATCGCATTATCTTAATTAATATCAAGAAAGTTTCACCGATTAATTTTTACAGAGAAAGAAATAATAAAAGTATGCTTCACAGAACTGAAATTAAACTCAATTACATTAAAAATTAATGAGCTTCTCCTAAAAAATCCTCTAAAGCGGCTTAAAAACAGTGATTTTCTATTTAATATCTCTTAAAATCTAGTTAATTGGGTTCTATAATGTTTCAACAACATTAATTTCTTTATTTAAATGAGTTCTCTTGTCGCTCGTGTTAATGCCGTTTGCTTCATAGAGTGAACTACATTAAAATTTTAAAAAATTAACGAGTTTCTCTACAAAAAAAAAAATATTTTTCCTCCACAGAAACTGCTCCAAAACACTTAAATGGTTTTTCATTTCCTTAAAACCTAGCTAAATGCGTTTTTAAACCCTTCAAACCTAGTTAAATGCGTTTTTAAACCCTTCAAACCTAGTTAAATGCGGTTTAAAACCCTTACAACCTAGTTAAATGCGTTTTTAAACCCTTAAAACCTAGTTAAATGCATTTTTAAACCCTTAAAATCTAGTTAAATGCATTTTTAAACCCTTAAAATCTAGTTAAATGCATTTTTAAACCCTTAAAATCTAGTTAAATGCGTTTTTAAACCCTTAAAATCTAGTTAAATGCGTTTTTAAACCCTTAAAACCTAGTTAAATACGTTTTTAAACCCTTAAAATCTAGTTAAATGCGTTTTTAAACCCTTAAAATCTAGTTAAATGCGTTTTTAAACCCTTAAAATCTAGTTAAATGCGTTTTTAAACCCTTAAAATCTAGTTAAATGCGTTTTTAAACCCTTAAAACCTAGTTAAATGCATTTTTAAACCCTTAAAATCTAGTTAAATGCATTTTTAAACCCTTAAAATCTAGTTAAATGCATTTTTAAACCCTTAAAATCTAGTTAAATGCATTTTTAAACCCTTAAAATCTAGTTAAATGCATTTTTAAACCTTAAAATCTAGTTAAATGCATTTTTAAACCCTTAAAATCTAGTTCGTTTTTAAACCCTTAAAATCTAGTTAAATGCGTTTTTAAACCCTTAAAATCTAGTTAAATGCGGTTTTTAAACCCTTAAAACCTAGTAAATTACATTCTTAATTCCTTAAAACCTAGTTAAACGGGCCCCAAAGTTTTGCAAGAAAACAAATTTCTCTAACTAAACGGGTTCTGCACCACTTTTGGCACATTTAAAAGCAACGAAATTTAATTTTACACTTTCTACATTAAGAAAAAATTGCGATATTATTTTCCAAAATACAGAAATTTGTGTTGACGTATCAGTAACTATGGAAACAAAACTTTTCTACCTCGAAAAATTTATTATGTATGATACACCCGACCCATAATATTAATTACGAAAAATCCTATTGGTCGATAACGGGAGCGAGCACGTGATTTCCATCGACAAATAAACAGCGAGGAATAAGGTTTAAAAGATGATCATCCAATCATCATCATCATCATCATTATTTTGACATCTGCACAAATGTTGGAAGTATTTCATTCCAATGGAAGTATTTCTATTGCTGTTATTATCATCTGCCGCCGCCACCACGGGTAAGTTAATTCTATACATTTTTAAATATATTAAATTAGAAATTAACCACTTAATTACCTAATTAGAAAAATTAGATTTGACGCTACACATGGAACCATTAAAACATTCGGAAGCCAAAGACAAATGCAAGAAAGAGAATAGGAACTTGCTGTTACCTAGGGATTTGGACGTATTGGAGCGTTTTCGAAATAATTTACAGCTTAGAATTAATAATACCGCGTGGATTGGACTGGCAAAGATTTCTAAAGGTAGGAAAAGTTCCTGGTATTTCGCCAACGGCAAGAAAGTTCCGGACGATTTCGAATTTTGGGACGTGGACCAACCCGCTTCCGATGGAGATTGCGCTACTATGGACGGTCGCAACAAAATGCAAACCAGGGTCCTCAAGACTAAATTACCTTTTGTGTGCGAAAAGAAGTTATCTGGTAAACAGAGTATGTATAGAATTATTTCATTTACATTGTTTGCACCCGTTTCAAATTACGGATTCTTCGTGCCCAGTAGAAATTCCTGATCGTCCCGCTCACTATTAATGATCATGGAAATCCGATCCTAAAACCCACCATTGATCAATCCTCCAGACTGGAAGATGATCAATGGCGAGGAAGCGGAGGAACCAAGCGTTATTCCGATCGTATCCGTATCTATTTTCAAAACTTTCGAGGCCCAGGTCCAATTCCTTTATACAGATACGGGTATAGTAGTATCAGTGATGACACCCCTAAGAATGCGAGATTCCATGCCACGGTCGAATGTGTTCGCGTGTTGATATTGATACGACAATCCATTATATTGTTATCTACACACCCATACGCAGGGCTCGCTCCGTATTTTTCGGGACCGGTGCACAATGCACGGGTCGCACACTCGCGAAGTCTGATTCCGGCGTATTGTCAGAGTAAGGCATTGATGGAATGTAAGTTATATATCCCGATCGTGGAAGAGATTTACAGTTTCGTGGGGCAATAAACAATTTAGTTTTTAAATGTTTCCTCGAACAAAAACCGCGGACACTAGTAGTTGGTGATGGATTCGCGCCTGGAAAATGGACTAACCACGTGAAGTTTCTCGGTTGTTTTCGTTTGTAACAATTCAACAGAGAACCAGATTCTCGTAAAAGTCCATCCGGGAGCAGTGGCGCGTTATATTTTAATGGAGCCCAGGCGATTTTGAATTAGGTGGTCCCCGTGTACGGTGTTGACTTCAGAAGGTTTTCTTCGCGAGAATGTTTTGAGAGGAAATATTTTCTTAAAGAAGATTTGTTTGGAGTCCTCAGTTGGCGAGGACCCGGAAAATTGCCCTTTTTGCTAATAAAATAACGCGCCACTGCCCAGGCGGCATCCCATCGCGGCAGATCGCCCACGTGTTGCATTGCCGCATATAAATAAACTGAATCAAACTGAACTAAAACGCTTCCATCAATGACCAAATGGACAACACTGGTAGTCGGTCGGAGGTTCGGGCCTCACCAAAGGGCTTTGAGTTTTCCGGATTTTCTTCACTTATCGCCTACACAGGGACCAGTTTCCCATAGAAATTTCTCTTGCCCTTCCGCTGTTACCTCATCCCATCGGGACCAACCAATCCATATGAATCATGTTTAAAATTTCCTATAAACTTCCATTGATCAATGAAGGTCTTTTACGATACCCAAAAACAATCGAATATTTTAATTGTTGCCATTATTGCCTTTTTATTTCTAGAATGCGACAATGCCAAAGACATGTGGAAATACGACAATAAATGTTTGAAAGTAATCCACACACCGGGATATTGTTCGGTGGCAAAATCAAACTGCAAGAGACTAGGTGCCACCTTGGCCATTGCCACAACACAGAAGGAATTCGAAGACATACAGAAAGAGATAATACTATCGACTTTAGACAAGCGAGTATGGGTGGGTTTGGAGAAAATTAATGGAAAGTGGGTGTTGGAAGACAACGAGGAACACCTCGAAATCGATAAAATGTGGATGGAAGGGATTAAAATTGATAAATACACCAAATGTGCGGTACTTTCGACCAGATTCGATCGATTGTTTCCGGTTAAGTGTAATCAACACACGGCGTATCCAATCTGTCAAAGTAAGTGATATCTTATTAATGACACTACGGTGTAACACTTTATTGCTTTTAATTATAATTAAGCAAGATAATTAATTAATCGAGAGCTATAAGTTCATGTTTCGCGAACAGGTTAGTATATAATTAGACGTTAAAAAGGGGTGAAGGAACACGAAACAGGTGAGTTTTGCTCGGTTTTCATGAGCTTTTAAGCATGTGCCGGACTTAAAAATCATGAGAAATGAGCAAAATGTTGTTACTTTTTTCATTGGTTTGAGTGAATGAGAGTGAGTGGAATGCACTTGGATGAGTGACCAACCGAAAATTCCACATGTTTTCCTAGCAGAACGACATACAGACGCACTAACCTTTCTGGTTATATATTGTTTCTTTTTTTTATTATAATAATGTAATTGTTTTTCTTAATATTTCAGGTATGCATAGATTATGGAAGAATGTATTTCAAACACTAATAAATTCATCTGTTAAAAACACTATTTTTGTGTTAAAAGTATTATTAACTTTTGAATTAATAAATTATGTATGAAATAATCTACTAATGGCGATTTTTAAAGTCGAACAACTCGTCATTAAGTTTCGAGATAAATATTTTATTATTAAAAATATTGTACTTTTAATCATTTATCATCGTGATATTTTTTTTCTTTCCTTGCAACGCATCGCTGCCATTTTTATAACGCCAATAAGTCAAAATGGAAGATAATGTCCAGAATCTAATTTAAATTAATATGTAGAATTATTTTAATTAAGTAATAAATGTAATTAAATGATACTGGAATATGTAAATTAACACTTTGACTGCCTCTCAAGGGAGTGCTGCAATTTATAAAGTGACCCTTTAAGTATCTTTAAATGGTGTTACAATATGTAAATTGCCCTTTTACTGTCTATAAATGATGCTGCAATGTGTAAATTGATCCTTTTACTACCTCTAAAGGGTATTAAATGTGTAAATTGGCCCTTTTACTGCCTATAAATGGTGCTCCAATGTGTAAATTGGTCCTTTTACTGCCTGTAAATGGTGCTCCAATGTGTAAATTATCCCTTTTACTGCCTATAAATGGTGCTCAAATGTGTAAATGGACCTTTTACTGCCTATAAATGCAATGTGTAAATTGGCCCTTTTACTGCCTATAAATGGTGCTCAAATGTGTAAATGGACCTTTTACTGCCTATAAATGGTGCTCCAATGTGTAAATGGACCCTTTTACTGCCTATAAATGGTACTGCAATGTGTAAATTGATCCTTTTACTACCTCTAAAGGGTGTTAAATTTGTAAATTGGCCCTTTTACTGCCTATAAATGGTACTCCAATGTGTAAATTGGCCCTTTTACTTCCTATAAATGGTGCTCCAATGTGTAAATGGACCTTTTTACTGTCTATAAATGGTGCTGAAATATGTAAACTATATTTCTTTATATTACTTTCTAAAGATGTTCAAATATGTAAATTAATACTTTCACAGCCTGTAGAGAGTACTGTATTAAAATACATGAGCTAAATGTGTTTTAAATAATCTGTACAAGTCCTTGTAGAATTTTTTTTTTACTACCAAAAAAAAGTAGCATCTAAAAATTTTGTAACCTGTTAAATAAATTATGGTTGTAGTAAACGATATAAAAGACCTAGTTAAGCTACTGAATATTGTATATAAACGTGCATAGGTAAAATATTGAATAATAAATGAGTTTATCTGATGAATGATGTTGTACTTTAATTATTCACGCCCAAGTTTTTAGAAATGTGTTTTATTTATTTATTAATAACTGATAAGAGTTATTGGAATATTTCTGGTTTATATTCAGCCACTTGCCGTGAATAACGTCGATAAATTTCTTATTTATAAGTATGATCGGGCCCTGGCGGATTTTCCCAGGAACAGACAATTTGGGGGTCTACAGTGTTTTTACTGAAATAAAATTAAATGCAGTCTTAAAGAAGCATTCTACGTGGCACTATATCATTTGTTCAAAAAATTAAGAAGAAAAAGTAGGCCCGCTCCATCACCAAGGCCTCATACAAGCGCTCATCTATACAATTCCTGATGTTAAAATGTATTTTACTATTCTTTTTCCGGTAATAATACATCTACATTTATTTATATTGTATTTTGAATTGCTAAGGTGTCTTTTAATTTATTCATTAGGTTCGGAAGGGAGAGAAGGGGCCTGAACAACCTGTAAAAATTTCAGTGGATCCGGATTAGAATCCGAAGAAACAGGCCGATGCCTTCTTTAATTATTCCCAGACAAACGTACGTTTATTTGTTTTTAATTGTAATTATCTACATTCAATCTGTTTTCAACGAGGCCAGGTATAAAGCATAAATGTGGGGCCTTTTAAAAACGCTGAGTGCCCTCCCTAAGGTCTAAACGCTCGGGGTCTTCCGCAAATTACACACTGGCAAAGCGTTATTTCGTAATGGACATATCGCAAGATGTAATTAGAATATTTTAAATAATTACTGTTAAATATTCACCTTTTTTATTGGTTTACCTGAGATTCCAGAGTTGTTTTATTAAATCTCAGCATCTATCTTGACTCTTTCCCAACTTACTACGGTAGCTAATTTTCATAATCGTCTCGGTGTCGCAGTTTCCTTGAAAATATCAAAATTGTAGTTATAATAAACAAATATTCGTCTCTAGAAAATTATTTGTGAATGCAATACCGTAAAATTTTATGAATCTAAAATTATGTAAATTAGTATAATGTCACTAACAGATATAAACTGATGGCCGAGTGGATAAGTTGGCAGCATACTGCTGTGGGGATCCGGGATCGAAAAATCCCACGAATGGTACATCCAAATGAGTTTCCTTCCAGCCTGATGCCCATTGCAACGTGTGGCTAATCCCATAATGGGCTTGCTGAAAGCCCTCTTAGTGCCCTCGAGGTGGGGAGTCAAAAAACCCAAGTCCCATACAAGCTCTTGAGAACCCCGTCTGTTAGATGAATGAGAAAATTTTTGAAGCCACGAATACCAAAGACCGCTTGCCCACCAGTGGCCAAACAGTCTTTGTACCCCGAACACTGGGAGTTTGGTGGTGGGTTTGCGCCTTGCTCGGACGGGCTAGCCACGTGGCATTTTCCAGGTTTTCTCCACGTCTGTAACGCCGGAATAGAGGCCAGTTACCCTTAAAAAGACCTCCCGGAAGGCATCTCCTACGCAGACTGCCCAAGTGTTGCATTGCAATAACTTATCAAAACAAACAAAAAACCAGAAATAAAATACTCTGTTAAATTTGTAGATAAAATTTATCTACAGAATTAACTCGAATGCTTTCATTGGTAAAAAATTTTAGCACAGTTTATTTCTGTTAATTCCAAACTTGGCCAAATTCATATTTTGGTACTAAATGTATGTAAAAAAAAAAATTACAGAAATTACTGTATTTAAAAATTAATTATGAAAAGTTTATAACAACTCCAAACCAACAAGTTATAAACAAGTATAGTTGCAAAAATCTGTAAACAATAACAATTTATAAATCTGATAACAGGGTAAACTGTACAATTATTAGTCATACAATAAATTATAAAAAGTAAATTTGATATTTCTTGATAATTTCCTTCTAAAAATATACATACATACAAACATATCCTCTTACTCATAATAAGCAGTAGATGAAAGGAGACTACAATCTTACAAACTATCCATTCTGCAACTTTCTCTGTACCTTCCTGTCTAGAAGTACATCTTTTCCTTTGGACACATTTATGCATCTACCTCACCTTCTCTCTCTGACTCGACACCTTACATTCATTCAGATACTCGTTCACTTGTTCCGACCAAGACTTTCTCGTCCTTCTCCTACCACATTTCCCACGTATATGCTCATCGACAGTTTTTCTCCTTTCGTTCTCTTGACGTGGCCGAACCGTCGTAGAGCAGATTTCCCCACCTTTTCATCCGCATCCACCCCAAATTTCTCCAGCACTTGTTCATTTCTCACATAATCTCTCCTTGTTATGCCATACACTCTTCTCACATGCAGTAATGCGACTCCTGTGACTATTTTGCCATACCGTACGCGAGCACGAGTACCACAACATTCCTGTACCTGACCATTTGTGCCTCTTTGGACATCCTTTTATCCTTTGCAAATCTACTCATTGCACCCACCACCTGCTCCAATATCTAAAAATGTAAACTGATTAAATTTAATTTATTAATATTTTCAATAAATAATAATTTTGTATGTATTAACTATGATAATGATGTCCACGCAGTGCCAGTTTGAGGTATAGGCGGAGTAGGCAATTGCCGATGTGTTAGAGGAGCACGATATTAGATTTCATTAATTAACGCCTGTAATTAAAATATATAAAATTTTGTTATTTATTAAGAAAATAAAGAAAGAAAGAAACAGATTCAAATTCAGAACGATTTGATTCAAAAGAGAATTGGAGATTCAATTAGAAGAGTGAGAAAAGAGAATGAAGGTTCTAGATGTATGAGTTTTTACTGGTTAAGAAAAATACACTTCAAGCATTTTAATGTCTTAAAATAGACAATACTAAAGACAATTTTGAGGAAGAGGAGCATTCTCTACACTATACTGTACCATGCAAGACTTTCATTACAAATTCATGTCATTTCCTTTATATCTCTGTTATTGGGAGTTGTTTTTATACAGACTTCTGCAATACAGATCGGTCCCAGAAATATTCAGAGATGAACTGCCAGTTGAAATACCCAGCTATGGGTTTTTACCATAAGATGCCATAGTATAAAGGTAACCAGAAACTCCTGAAGTTTAACCAAATATGACTCATTGGCGCACTAATGTTTCTGATTGTAAAATCAGAAACATTAGTGCACCAATGAGTCAAATGTCTTGAACTACTTTGGGACAGAACAGTTGTGTTGATTTTAAATACAAAACAAAATCTAACTAAAGGAAAAGAACCAGAAATCTCTGAAAATGAAATTAATAATTATTTATACTTAGCAAAGACTAAGTGACAACTGGTGCTATTTTTGTTGCCAATTGTAAATAAACATAACCTATTAAACATTAAATGTTTGGACTTTCAACAAGGTAAATTTGGTTTGAAGAGGAAAGAATAATTCTTAAATGATGCCAAAACCCAAGTGGTAGATGGGAGTTATAAGAGATTATAAAAATATTAAGAAATTAAATACTTAAGAGAGATACTAAAGAATGGTGATGAAAGAGAAACAAGAAGGGTACAGTGAGCTGTGGGTAATAATACTAAAAAAGAATAATGTTATGTAAAGAAATAAATTTAAGAAATGTTTGAGAAGTAATTTGAAGCATTAACATTCAAATTCAAAATGTTATTGATATGAGCATGAGGAACTGTGAGAACAACTGTTACTAAGCTTGAACTGGAAGTGATGGATGTTATTTGGTTGCAATTTTCAAATTGTGGACCAATAAAAATTCCCACTGACATTAATCTGTCATCTATCCTTCCTTAATCTCAAGAATGGAGTTACATAGATGAAAGTCGAGGCCAGATAAGGAAAGCTTAGGGGCAAGAGGCCCAATTAACTATGTACAAACTTCAAATCTGGACTGAAAGTCACATTACAGTAGACCCCCTATAAAACGGGTTCCTATAATTACGATTCCTATAAGACAGCAAAAAAATTGCAACAGTATCCGTAAAAAACTGTAAAAAAACTCCTATAATTACGTAAAACATCATTGGGCAGCCGAACTACTTTCCGCGCTGTCAAGTACCACGCTACGGAGAGATTACTATCGTCTGTACAGTATTATATATAAATTAGGTACTGTACATATAATTATATATAAATTAGGTATTGTATATATAATTATATATTAACTTAATTTATTGTAACTTTATTACAATTATATATATATTTTCCGCCGCCTGGTGCCACGCTACAGAGAGTTTACGTGAACTATCGTCTGTACAGTATGTAAATTAGGTACCGTAAGTCTAATACAGTACTGTAATTTTATACATTTCTCGTGAAAGAAACATTTCTTATTCAACGGCGATTAAAATTATTTATATTAATGATGTCTCCAAAGTTCAGCGAAGTTTTCGCAGAAAAATAACATCAGAAATTGCGCCGCGGTTTGCTGAGTTGTTCCGCGACAAAAACAAGCTTGAGCAATGGTGATGTCGAATGGTGCACACTCGGTAAGTAATCCTACAATTTTTTGTTTATAGCATAGTTTATACGGATTATTTTCAAAAAAAATATACGTATTTTGGAAATGTTGAGTCGGATTAGTCTAGAATCGATTAATTTTATGGAAGAAAACCTTTCAATCAGCCGTAGTCCGTAAACTTCACACGTGTCGGGCTGTGATTGGAAGGACTCGTAAGAAATCGGATTCCTAAAGAATGGAATGTATCTACTGTCTTATAGGGGGGTCGATTGTATTTCAATTCAAAAATTTTCTCCAGAATGTAGTTAGATAGATGACTGGCATGACTCTGCTGTTATCAGGCTAAGTATGACTTACTAGTGGATTTGAAAGCTAGAATGGAAGGGAATTAAAAGATCAAAGAATCCTTGAAGGGTTGACAATCAAAAAAGTTTGGGGATCTCACACTAAAGGATGGGTGTTTCATCACGGAGAAGAGTGTGTTGTCAAAAACTATCCATTCAAGACTGTTAAATAAAAAATGCAGAAGTTAAGAGAATAAAAGAAATGTCTAAACTGCATTAGAAAGGAACACATTGCTCACATTTTCCCTAAAGCTTGTGCAAATTGTTTGACTTGTCAAGGTGTACACATGGTTGTGTATAAAGTACAGTAGTTAGAAACAAACCCAGCAAGGTCAGAATAGTACTACAGCTAAAAGTGTAGTAGTAACAAAAAAGATAAATCTAACAGCTACAACAGCTAACCACATGACGGATAAGAGAAAATGGATACTGCCGTTAACAACTGCCCTAGTTACAGCTAAGGATCAAGAAATAGAATATAAGGCAAGACATTTGGTAGATGGAAGAAATCGGCAAAGCTTTATTAGCAAACAGTTATCAAGAAAATTAAAGTTGAAAAGTATCAATGTAAAAAGTAAGCGCTTGTGATAAAAAAATTTGCCAAACAATCCAGCTGTATAATGGTGTGACATTTTTATCTGTTCTTCGCCGAGACATGGAATGCATTTACTACAATGAAAACTACTGTTACATCTTGTCCGTCAAAAAGGTCTTGCATTCTGTGGCATACTTAGAAATATGGCGCTCTCAGGCCCACAACCAGTGCCGTCTTATCCATTAGACACTTTAGATACAGTGCCTACGGCCAATAAAATTAAGAACAGAAATTAGAAGTTATGGATAACTAAAATAAAACATTAAATTTATGCTTAGTCAGTTTATTTTATGTAGAATTTTCTACATTTTTTGCTTGAAAATCTTTAATAATTTCAACTGGTAACTATTTTAATATTTTACTTTCTATAGAAAGTACAGATAAATATAATAATTTTGTTTGAGACAAATTAGATTTTAAATGATTTTCAATACAATTTAATGCTGAAAAAGATAGTTTCTCCTTCAGAATTTGATCCTAAGATTGACATGTACTGTACATTCTAACAGCAATGTTCGTATTAGAAAGGCCGGATACTAAATTCTATTCCATTTGCAGTAACGATGATTCTTGTACTGTTTTGCACACCGGAAATAATTTAAAAAGATAAAAGAAAAAAGTTATATTTAAAAAATTAAAAAGTGACTAGTGCCTACAAAAAGCTTAATGCGGCTCTGTCCACAACACACAAGCACCCCCAAACTAATAGTACCATTTTTGCACCAAATGATTCTATTTTGTGCACTGTCCACCCAAATATAGATTCAACTGCAGCAAGTTTCATTACATTATAACAGACTGGTAATAATCTGATCCTATAAGAATACCTATTGGAAACTCTTCCTCTTTAACTTGTGTTCTTAGATCAGCAAGTAGTAGAATTAAGAATAAACTAACGGTTGTAGAAATTCAAAAATAGCATTAAAAGAAATACATTAAAAGAACATTACACTATGCTGGAACTAACACAAGGGAGAAGTGGATTGTAATTACAACACATTAAAGGAGATTCTTAATTTGATGATAACAATGTTGTTTGCAATGCAAAATTGTACAATTACTAATCTCCACATATTGAAGGTTGACCTATTTAATATTTACAAAGATCCATTCGTGGATATTTACTGGCACTGTTGAATAGTACTATTTAGGAAGATTTTATATAGAGATTAAAATGTGTAAAGACACAAGTATAAAAATTTATATAAAAATATAAATAATTGGAAATTGGTAGTGTGCATGTACTCTACATCAATAAATCAATGTACTGTATGTGTAGCTTCAATTCTGTTCATTACAGGTGGGTCCAACGTATGATTGGATCGACTGAAAAACAAAGATTAAGACCAATTTATTTGGGTTGGATCCCTTGCAAAAATTTCTTAAGATCCAACCTAAATCTGAACCCAGTTCCCTCAGAGGGCCAACAAATGCCCGCGCCAATTCAGTCATGTAGTTCAGTGTTCTGCAACCGGTGTGCCGTCACAAGGTGAAAGGTGTGACGTGAACTTTTACATATTACATTAATTTCAAGTTTTATTTATTATTTTTATCGCAGTTTTTGTGTTTCTTATGCTTGTGTTTCATTCACTGATGAAATAAGATGATGTTAAAGCAATAAACACATATGTCATCCCAGTACTCACATACTCTTTTGGAGTTATACATTGAACTCACACAGATCTTGAGCAATTCCAAATAAAAACAAGAACAACACTTACTAAGCATAAAGAATATGATCCTAAATCTGCCATAGAAAGATTAACCCTTCCACAGGTGAACGTGGCCTGATCGACATAGTTAACCTCCACTACAAACAAATACAGACATTGCAAGAGTTTTTCTACAAAAAACAAGAAAAATCACAGTTACATAAAGCAGTAACTCTAGCAGATTCAAATAACACACCATTAAATTTACATTCATAACATATGGACATGACACAACATATAAATAGCATAGACACCATTAAGCAATCATGGTTGTGAAAGGCACTCCATGGCAGACATTCCTATGTCCTAGCCCAGGATTTTGTTGACAAAACTGCATCAAACAGCTGGTTAGATTGAGAATGCCTCTTTGGGGAGACGGAAGGATTCATGATTGCCATACAGGATCAGGTCATAAATACTAAAAACTACAGAAAACACATACTCAAAGATACAACACTCACAAATGACACATGCAGAAAATGTCACATCATGCCAGAAACTATACAACACATTACTTCTGGGTGCAAGCTCTTGGCACAGACAGATTATTTACACAGACATAATCAAGTAGCAAATATATTACACCAAGAGCTTGCAAAGAAACACAAATTATTAGACATCCACAAACCATACTACAAATACATTCCACAGACAGTATTGGAAAACAATACACACAAACTGTACAATGACAGCCATAATTACAGATAAAACAACTTACCACAAGAGACCAGACATCACACTCATTGACAAACACAATAAAATCGCACACGTTATAGACATATCTGCTCCAAACACTCACAATGTACAAAACACATGCACTGAAAAAATCAGCAAATACACAGAACTTGCCCAGGAAATAACACATCTGTGGAGGATGGATAGGGTGCTTATTGTATGTACCTGTCGTTCTCTCCTCTACACACTACACAAAAGCCTGGAAACATTAAAATTGAATAGAAACACATACGCCACACTACAGAAGGCTACTGTATTGAATACGTGTCATATTGTTAGGAAATTCCTGAATACAGACACACACTGACACACTTATTTAATTTTTGTGTTGTTTTGAAATTACTATGCCTTGACTTTGATACACAGCCATCGGTGTCAACCGAATGTAACTCACAAAACTCAACATAATAATAATAATAATAATAGGTTTATGGCATTACAAAATTCTATTAATATTAATAGTATCATATCATACATTTTTGAGGGGAATAACATTTTGGTGTGCCGTGTTAAGTCATGTCGAGTCATAGGTGTGCCACGAGTAGAAAATGGTCGTGGAACACTGATGTAGTTAATATAGATAATAAGCACGTCTCTGTACAAATATAGCATTGCTTTTGCAAACACTATGCTTTTTGCATAAAAACTTCATCTAGCGAAAGCTTACTGTTATGAAACACAAGAAAAAACACTAAAATTTAATTTATTTCTCCTTCCCTAATCTCAGGAAATGATGTAGTATTTTTATATTTAAAAAGTTTTGAATTCATATTAAATAAAAATTTAAATATATCACTATTAATCATTTTAAATGATAATTTCGTTAAATAGCTATTATTAATTGTATAGTTTACCCTGTTTCATCAATATTGCCATCATCACAGATGAACTTCTTTCAAAACCAAATTAAAAACAAAACTTTTGTAAATAGTTGCATTAGTTAAACAATGTTCGGTGGTATCTCTTCTTCCTTATTTATCAATTCGAGCCTAGAAAAAACAAACAAATTAATGAATATAACCAATTATTTAACTAGTTAATTGTTACTATGACGATACAAGCACTATTATTATTCAAAGATATCTTCTTATATTTATACTTTTCAACTACCATCTCACCCCTTGTAATGCTCTGTAAAACAAACCACCCCCCAAAGCTAATAGCCTCAGCCATGACATCACTATAACTTCGATTGAATGTTAATTTGTTGTCATAGTTTGATCGATATTATAAAGTTCTATCATTTCAAAAACAAGTAGCGCAATTATTGTATACATTTTACTAAAATGTATGACGAATACTAAACCAAACAATAGCCATTACAGCAATCGTTTGGTCAAGTATCAAGGTATTCGGGAAGTTTATTGTAGATGAATACCAAGTCAAATTGTCAATACTAAGCTGAGAATGTGCTAAACGTTAATGCCACCATTCATCCCTTTTACTTAAAAAAAGGAAGCCTAAATGTTAATTATAAATACAGTATGCAGAGAATATTGTAAAATAAGAAATTTTAGCTTAGCTTTTAATCCAAAATAACAAATACAATCTTGACACAGAATGTAAAATTGCCCCTATGCATAACAGATTGAATGTGATATTCATACGATCACGGACAGGACTGAATGATCAAGTTGAATAGAAAATATCAAGCCACGAGTAAGATCAATTGGTTCTATCCATACATGCAAATTGTGCAAGTAAGGAGAAGTTTTTTTTAAAGCTTATTTCCAGGGTCATATTAATAATGAAAGGAATGTCAAAATTACCTACTTTATCATTTTCTACTTTATAATTGATAGTTGATGCACTGTTATTGTCATCGGCAGTGTGAACTAATCCTTAGAATGGCACTAGCATCCGGCACCGTGACGTAAGGAAAGAAAGGGAGAATGGTGACCTCCATTATTTAGTATAGGCCCAACTTAGTATACAGTGGCAAAAGATCTATAGTGGTTACACTCTTCATTTTCAGAATAATCTATTCATAGAAAGACTTTTGTAAGAATCCTTTATAATATAATCAGAATGTTTCTATTCTTTATATTGTGGCTATTGGAAATGCAATGACAAAACTGTATATCGTATATTCTGAAAGTGACAAATATTCAGGAGATGAGATAAAAATATATGCTCTCCACCTCAAGTTAGTAGTGTCTTGTCCCTCCCTGTACATCATATTTTTCCTGTTAGCATTAGAGTTGTGCCAGTCATCTAGCTAACTTCTTTCGGGGGAAATTTTTAGTGAAACAATGTGATTTCTGGTTTGCATTAGAAGTTTGTATATAGTTAATCGGGGCCCCTTGCCTCTAATCTTTCCATATCTAATCTTGTCTTTCATCTACCTACTTCTGTTCTCGAGATTAAAAAAGGATAGACAGACGGATAGGACAGTGAGAATTTATAGGTGTACAATTTTTTTAAATTGCAGCCCAATGACCAAGTATCATAATTGCATCTAATTCAATGATCAAATTAAATTTTCTAAGAAAGTGAATAAAATATTAAAATGTACCTTGATATGGATGGCAATGATAGGAACTTCGGCCGTGGTCGATATAAAAACATTAGCATTTCCGCATTCCGTAACAATGACTACTCTACCAGTACAACTATTATGTTTCAAGTAACCGGTGATAATATCACAATAAATACCGGGAGGAAGGCCAGTCTGTAAATGAAAATCTAAATCCTCGTCCTCTTCGTTGTTAATGGCAATAAAGGCTCTGTTTTCGCGTCCGAAAGCAATCTGGTTTCTGCCGTTTGACCACCAATTAGAGACGGGCACTTTACCCGAAATTTGATTGAATCTGATCATATTTAAAATTTCTTTCCACCTAATTGAAAAAATATTTGTATGAATTTATAAATATAAAACATAGCATTAATTTTTAATGATTTTAATTAATTAAACAAACAATTTTTAATTAATCAGTATAAATTGTGTTAATCTCTGAAATGCAAGTAATTATGTTATGCTATTGACTGTCAACTTTAGAACCTCTCAGAATTTTAGACTTTACACAATGGAATTTGGAAACGACAGACCAATCCTAGTTTTTCTAAGCTATCCGTTAGTATTTGAGAATATTGAACTGCAACTATGTGTAAAATATCCTATAGACCAGCAATTCCCAACCAGAAGCACACATACCCCTAAGGGTTTAGAGAAAACCCAATGTTAACACAACACAGAAATGAGGTTATAGAGTTGGCTAACCTAGTATATTGCGAATCCTTCTTCGCTTTCGAAGGCCAAGTATATAAACAAAATAGGGGAGTTCCAATGGGAAGCCCAATTTCAGGGCTCCTTTGCGAGCTTGTTGTTAGAAAACTAGAAGAAAGAGTCCTTTGTAACTTCGAAAGGGATATTGTTTATTACAAGAGATATGTAGATGATGTATTTATATTATGAAAAAACAATAGATTAATTGCTAACTTTGTAGATAGAATTAACGAAAACAAAGATGGCCTTAGCCTGAAACTAGAGCAAAAAAGCTCCAAAATGGTACATTTCTTAGACATTAATATCATTTTTAAAAAAGGACGTATATCCACTAACGTATTCGTTAAACCAACGCATAGCCCACTATATATCCCTGCAAGTTCTAATGATCCTTATAGGTATAAGTTAGCAGCATTTCGAGCATTGATTAGGAGGGCTTATATATACTGTGAAAATGTTATAGACCGTGATACAGAAATAGAAAGAATTATACAGATAGCAGGAACATTAGGTTATAAGAGGAATGTTATAGAAGGAATTATTAGAAAATTTGAAGCCAGTAATGATAAAGTCATTAGACAAGGTCCATCTAAGTACACAAAATTTACATACAATAAGTATTTAGGAGGGATTATGAAAGAAATCGCAAATATGAAAGATACAAAGGTGATATTAAAAAGAGCTCCGAATTTGTATAAAATACTCAGAAATGATAAAGGGGTTGTTAAAAAAGAAGATAAGGCGGGTGTGTATAAGATTCCCTATGAGAACCAGCTAACAGGTATAAAAAAAGATTATGTAGGGGTTACTACTAGAAACCTAGGTTTAAGGATCAAAGAACACAGTTATGATGTTAGAAAAGGCTCTAATACAACAATGTTGGCTCAGATGGTGCAAGCAGAAGGTTCTTTGGTTAGATGGAATGAAGCGGAAATCATAAAACAGATACACTCTCCAAGTTTGGCAAGAACAGCTGAAAAGATAGAAATTTACAGAAGTAAGCTTAAAGAAAAATGCATTAACGCAAGGGATGCGGAGGGTCTTCCTATGGCTTGGAAATATGCAGTTAAAAACTTACAACAGGCGCACGAACCCTAGAATGTTTTAAAAGAAATTCTGTATAGATAGGATAGACAGTATTAATATTTATTACAAGTATTATGTTATTTATTTTTACACTTTTTGTATCATTTACAATATATTGGTTATTCTTATTAATTGATATGTTATTGACTAACAGTATTTTTGAATTTTCGAACTTGTTCTATTTAAGCAATATTCTATTTAAACCTGAAGATGATCTATTGAATAGATCGAAAGCGTTTGTTTAATAAAAATAATTTCTCAGCGAATATTAAGGTGTTGGTTAAGTTTGTGTTCATAAATAAATTCCGACTGTTGTTGGTTTGTTGATAAAAGATTGTTGGTTTGCCTGCTGATACCTGCAAACTAACTTTTAATGCCTGCCTATAGGTATCATCACAGTGAAATCACATTAAAAAGTCCCTTTCAATGAATATGATGGTCCATCTACTAAGAGACAGATCTGCAGAGAGTTTTGCTAAACAACTTTTGCATCTCGATAATGGTAAATTCACCGAAGAACAAGATACTAATTTAATAACACTTACTACAGAAACCACAAATGTATATACAAGAGAGCAATATTAGCATCTAAAAACAAATGCATTGCCGAACTGAATTTGTATATCCAAGCAAAACTTCCAGGAACTTACACAACGTACAAGTCCGTCAATTCCATTTTCGAGGCAGATAAGGCAGTAATGTATGCAGTGAGCTGGTTTAGTCTACTTGAAACCAGCTGAACTACCACCTCATAACTCAGAGTTAAAGGATAGAGCACTAGTAATGTTTTTGTGAAATTTGAACCCACCTAAATTATGCAACGAGATGAGAATGATCTCTTATCTCTGTCCCACAAGCCCGAGCAATGTTCTGTTTCTTGCAGTTTCATTATTATAAATGCTCGGATCAATAAATGCATATTTCAGTTACTAGGACTATTACTTTTATCACCCTCTCTCAATTCCACATCCCCTCAAAAACCTGAGCAATGCCGGGCACATATCTTTAGGTGGCAAGATGTAATAAATTGTTACATCTAACGATTTCTTTTTAATGTTTGTTGTTGTTACTTTATGCCTGGACAGCATTGGGCATATCTGCTAGTCTAACAAGGGGACCTTACGGTCTCGGAAATTCAGTTCGGGATGAGACTTGGCAGGTTCGTAGTATACCTCAAGGGTGTCCACTCAGAAAAATTGTAAAGCGCACTAGCCAGAAGATTCTGAGAAAAAAGGCTCTAAAATTTTAAGCGCAGCTTATATACCGATCGATTCTACCTTATGGTGGTACAGCGAAGTGGCTCAGTCCGTAGCGTACTCGCCTGCAATGCGATGCGACCTAGGTTTGATCCTACCTTCTGCAAACTTTTTTTTTTTTTTTTTGGTTTAAAAATTATAATAATTTTTAAATAAAGTTAATGACGTAAAAATATTATCAATTAAATCATAAATACTTTTATTTTATTTATGAAATGACTGTTACAGCGGATTAAAATGTGAATTAAAGATAACATTTTATTTTTCAAAAGTTGAATAATTTCAAATGCATTTTTAATGGAGGTAAATTAAAACTTCAATT